ATTCGGAAGACGACAGGGTTAATGAAGCCTGAGCTTGGCCCGAAGGTCAGCGCACGTGTATAGAGGCCAGACAAATTCAAAAGTGACCACCAAACGTCAGGTGGTCACATAAACAAAGCATTACAATATAGATGAGTCGAATATCCGATATCACTCGGAGAGGGATTCCTCACGGTCCTCGCGAACGGGATTCGCGTTCCTATTCATTGCCCGCCTCTCTCCTATATCAGTCAGCTTAAACACTCTAATATGTATGTTATAGACTATTTCATGGTTCCACTCCTTAACTGGTGCCTTCGGGCAATGCGCAGGCCCATTTGTCCTGTCGCCTTAGGAATACATGCATCCAGCTTCACTGACTGCCTTCTTCCACTCGGCTGGCAGTCTTAGGACGCTACATTAACAAAGGACAAACTCAAGCATTCCACTTAATCGGTAAGCATGTCTAGCTTCTCTCTCTACGCATGTCTGCGAAATAAAATGATGAAATCCTTGGTGTTCAAGAATTGCATTTTTGGAAAGAAATCTACATACTTAAGTTGCATATTTCGCGCTTAGGAAATAGGGATTTTGCAAAAGTGGGAACATTCCAGCCTCAGTTTTAGGTTCTGTGCGGATCCAGTAATCTCGGAAAGTTCTTCCCACATTTACTATGAGTATTCATTTAAATATTTTTGGTCAGATTGGCTATCTGCCAAATAATCACCGCCACGCAGCATATGTTACGATGTCGGTGTGTTTGTCACTGCCACATCAAAATGGAATTATGGAGGAATCACAAGATCGGTTCCGCATGCACGCACACGTCCAGTAAGTGTGATTTTCATTAATTAGTAAAGATTTAGAAAAAGATCGCGAACGATGCCCCGAGCTTTTGCCTTTTACGCAGTAAAAATCATTTCAAAGGGTGGAAGTTACCAAATCACCCTTAGCTTAGAGCTTGTAAATCCAGTAAAAGTTCCAAAATTTTGCCGTCTGTGGCATTTTGCATCAACTTCGTTGGATGTATCATGAGGGGTTTGTTAGTACAGGCACCTTCACTTTGCTAAACCAAAAAATTCCATAATTTTCTCGCCCAGTCCAGGTGACTTAAGCTGACTTCATCAATTCGGGCGTGCGCGTTAGTCAGTCGCATAAAGCATGCCATAACCGAAGTTAGTAGCAATTGCGTTCAAAATACAACGCCGGTAGCATTCTGTGGACCACTTAGAGAGCACTTTCCACGCACCCACAAGATAAAAGGTTTGAACACATGATGCAAGCCACCGTAGGACGCCTAACACCTTCATCGTTGATGCTTGACCGATGAGGAGGGAAGTGATTTCTTTTAATTTCTGAGTTGATGAAACACAGACTCACCACTCCGTGCTAATGGGCGGAAATTTAACTTTTTTTAGTTGTCTTCGTCAATCTAGAATCCTTGCTTCAGAGCACGAAAGAGTCCGCTGGATTCGACACCACTAACGCACAAAAGAAGTTAGTAAAGAGTAGTTTGATGTTTATTCATCACGAGTCTGTCCAAACGCCTCCATCGTGGACAATTTGCGTTCTCAAAACATGTGCGATGCATTAATTTTTGCTTCCATTTTAGCTTCTGTTGCAGGTTCCGCCACCGCAACTCCACCTTGTGGTCCAGCTTTTGGGCCATGTGGGTAGTTTCGCTGTTCTTTATCTCTGAGATGGATTTGGGTGCTACAGTTGTGTCTCCTGACTATGTTTAAGTGCATTAGTTTTGAGCTTTGTACAAATTAATGCCAAAGTTCATTTACAAGTTTGCAGACAAGTAAAAACATCCCGTTAACTAATTGTATGCGGATTGTTAAAAAAGCTACTTACTGGATTTAGAAAGCTGTGAGACCTCTGCGCTTTATGGTGGACCAAGGGATATACTGGCCCCGTATGGAAATGATGAGGGTGTGCAACTATCCGGGTAGCCAAAAGATGTGGTGAGCAGAGCAATCGCTTGGTAACATTAAATTGCTCCCATACACTGCAGTGTTGAACTCGCCAAGGATCTCAGAGGCAAAGTTTAGTGGGGCTGGCCGCGGCTTAGCAATGTGGAGTTGGGGGTACCAAGCTCGTACCACTTTCGTGGGTGGTAAGCGATAGCCTCCAATCTAACTTAACCATCCAATTTCTCCTTCACTTTAGTAAAAAGAATGTGCATTACCGCATTTTTCACAGCATCACAGTTTAAAAATGCACCAGAAAGTTCAACTGCTCATGCACTTTTAAAGTATTTTCGAATAACTTTGACCCTGACTTATAAAATAGGCTTGTAATAACAAAAAAGAGGGTGCTTGAACATCTTTAAATGACAAATTGAACGTAGCTCTTGATTGGCCAGCATTTGAAACTTACATGCCGGCTCTTTCAAGTCTCTTTTAATCTACCATCCATTTCTACCATTGGAGCTTAACCCAAAATGGCGTCGGTGGAGGGTTGATGAAGTACAACAATGTGAGTAGACGTTAATTTAGCGGTTGGAACAAGGGACCACCTATTGCTGCAGTTACTTGATTTAAATAATAAGACTTTTGCTTTTTGTGTTATCCAAAACACTTTGAAACATTTTTCCTGAACTTCTTGACTACAAATGAAGGGTGGGGGATGGAGAGAAGACGAAGGGCAAATTGTCACCGAACGCAAGCAGGATCTATGGCTTTCCAGTGATCCGACACGCATTCAATTTGTAGTTCAAACTCTGATTGCACTGACTGCGAGTGGTAGAATCTGACAAAGTGCATTCACCCCACTTTCCACCACCTCCCTTCGCTCAAGTGTTAGCCAGTTGCTCCTAGGAGAACAGGTAAAGGGACTCATATATCGTCGTTTAACTGGAGTCACTCGTAATTGGCCCGTCGACGTTGCAGCAGCATCCAGCACTGACATTAAGCCGAAATAGAATTTCATACTCCGTTAGGTTGAAGTTTCAAAGTAGCATAAAGGGCCGCTTTCCGAAAAACAGAGTGGAAATTTCAGCAATATGAATGCATAAGTAGTAACGTCTCATAGACAGTTATGCTACTTTGAGATGAATCAAGTGTTCAGCTGTTTGATCACGCGCCCGGAAAGCACATCGACTGCCATAAAATGGTAAGTTGTGAGCAGAGTAACTTTTGATGTGCACAATCAGCAATTAGGCACTGGATTATGCATTGAATAAAATAGCCGCTAAATCAGCTGCAGTCCTGCGATGTGCAGACTGTTCCTTTGACTCCTGTTTTGGTAAGAGACTGAGCTGACACTTTTCCTAAGCTTTTGCACACCAACCTTCGAATGAACTTTTTGCGATTTTCTGCAATTTTAACGGAAGTTCAAAAGTAGTTCAACGACTAACTTTGTCTCAGATGAATTTACATAACCAAAGCACTTTTATGAATGTCAAGGCAGCGGTTAACTTCATAGATGCGCATGACATGTTGCATTGTGTGTTTGTACGAAAATACCCTTTAAGTAGTGGAGCGATCAGTTTACGTAAACGAAACGATTAAGAAAGTGGTACGAACTCCTTACACTTAGAGTGCATAAAACAGCATTCATCCAGAGAAGGGAGTGAAGACATGAAATATGCTACATTGCCATTACTTAGAAGGTTGGGAGCTAGGGTGCGCAACGATGCTAAACTGTGTAAACTCAATCGCAACCAGTGATTTATGGAGGCGACTGATGTAGAAAGTGCCAAATAGCAAACTTAAGAGCGAGTTAATGCACGTGAAGCAATTCATTTTGAACGTTTTTAATGCCCAAAACCACTACCACTAATATGATGACAATTAAAAAGCAGCAGCAAAGATTTGCCGTATTCATACGTGAGGTTGTGCCACACGTGTTTTAACTATGCACCTAGTCATCATTTGGTTTAGCTGGCTTCGCTTTCGTTTTGCTTATGGGGTATTTTGATGTTACAATTTACATGATCCACTTGCACTTTGTGCCAAGACCAACGTACCTCCATTGGGTGGCCTGATCTCAACGCCACGCCTATGGCACCAATCTCTTCTGTGTACATAATATGTACGACCTTCTCAAGCATTGTCTCCCATCGCCTCGACAATAGTTTTGAAAAGGTACAGCAGTAGCAGTGAAACGCGTCCCAGATCTTAAAAGGCAGGAGAGCTGCAGGAAAGTTATCAATGATGGAACGATATAAGCCGTGGACTATCTAAAAACCACATCATGACGCTGTCTCCCGAATCTACAGGAAGATTTCAACAAAGAATTCTCGCATATTCACCTCAGCCTAATTTTCAGCTGAAGAAAGAGATCAAAAACATGTAAATTCGGACAGATACAGCGTGAGACCAAAGATGCAAGCAGAAAATGTGGCCAAATGGAACTGAGTTAAACCCTATTTTTATTTACAGGACCAATTTTAGAGCATCTTTCTATATTTAACCGTTGACTCACGAATTTGCGGACAAAACAACCTGCTCATGAGTCCAGACCCTTTGAGGTGGCACTACAGTTGGGTTGTAGGTTTCGCCTCATAGTAGTAAGTACGTTGTGATAGCCAACGCAGAATAAAAATCTTGATGGAAAGTTTAACGCTAAGGCTAGAATGGGCAAGGGAGCTACGCGATATCTCGGCTTTTCGTCACGAAGGTGCCTCGCCTTTATATCTCTGGCTTCCAGACACTATTAGAGATTCACATCTCTAATGCATTGAGAACACATATTTTGCCTAAGTATTGACTTTGTTTTGTGTTTGTGGGGGCCTTATGCTAAGATTCAAACAAAGAATTTATGTTGGGATACTTGTAAACTTTGTTCATTGAAGAAGTGATCCTTAGTATAAGTATGTCTTTGTAAAGTGTTTGATGCAGCTACTTTTAGATTAAAAAAAATTATTTTTACCACTTGATGTCTTACATGGACTTTTTATGCTTTCAAATAAGTTAAAATTCGACTTGATTTGTTCACTGTTCGAGTGTGCATTTCAAAGTTTCACGCGGCGATATTGGTTGTCGTACTGCGTCTGTGCTCGCTTTTCTCTTATCATGTCGGATTACGAGTCGGACGAAGAACCTACGGCTGCCGATGAAACTGTTCTTAACAAGTATAAGGTTGCTGGTGAGATTGCACACAGTGAGTCAATTGTTGTTGTATCTGACCGAGGTTAAGCTGTTTTGAAGGAACTTATGAAACAATGTGTCCCCGGCGCAAAAATTATTGAGCTCTGTGAGTATGGAGATCGTCGAATCGTCGAGGAAACAAATAAACTCTTTAAGAAAGAGAAGGAAATGAAGAAGGGGATTGCGTTTCCTACTACTATTAACGTGAATAACTTCATTTGTAATTATTCGCCAATCGCGGGGGAGGAGAACGCCATTGAGGAACTCAATGACGAGGATTTGGTGAAAATGTATGTCCCTTTGTTATAATAATTTACTTCTAGCAATTTGGGTGCACATATTGATGGCTTTTCGTCCGTTATTGGTCATACCTTCGTGGTCGGCGCTGGTCCCGTAATTTTTTTTTCATCTTGACTTTTTCAGGAAAAAAAGGTAACAGGTCGGAGAGCTGATGTTATAGTTGCAGCGAACATCGCTGCTGAAGTTGCTAGACGCTTGGTCAAACCAGGAAATGAAAATTACGAGGTGTCGGACATGATCACAAAAGCAGTTGCTGATTTCGATTGCAGACCTATTCAAGGCGTTCAGTCTAATCTCATGAAAAAACTTGTTTTCGATGGTGATAAGAGCATAGTGTTAAACCCGGATGATGACCACAAAAAGGGCGTTGAAAAGTGTACGTTCGAAATGTATGAGGCTTGGCTGCTTGATATCGTAATTTCAACCGGCAGTGGAAAGACGCGAGAGCACACTGCTAGAACGACGTTATTCAAGAAGAATGAAACGGTTTACCACTTGAAGATGAAGGCGTCAAGAAGTAAATTTGCTTACTAGCTTGCATTCTTAGAGTTCTATAGTGAGGTTTCTACGAAATTCCAGGAATATCCTTTCAATATAAGGTCGGTTGAGGATATAAAGTCAGCACGTTATGCTGTTACTGAATGCGCAAATCATAATGTTATCACCCCGATGCCTGTTCTCGTAGAGAAAGAAAAGGAGTTTGTTGCACAATTCAGGTTCACCGTGATACTGATGCCCAATGGATTGATGAAGATCACGGGGCTACCTTTCGATTCCTCTTTATACAAAACTGATTTCAAAACCGTAGACCCCGAAGTTAAGGATCTTCTTAGTCAGCCAGTGAAGTCGTCAGGTGGAAAGAGGAAGAAGCCTGTGAATGCTAGCAACGATCAAGGTAGACCTGCTGCACAAAATGCGTAATTTCCCATCCCTCCAGTGGTTGTCCATTATGTACATGCATGTCTAATATTTTCAATAAATGGTGAATTTTTAGATCCTGTCCTTTTACCATGGCTTAGTAGTCATCAACTGCCTTGGTAAGTTCTCAAAAATGTTCTAAATTTGTTGTTCACTGCTATGATTGTTCTTCTTTGTCGTTATTTGTGAGTTGAGGGGGGGGGGAGGTTCTTTTAGGCTGCTCTTTCCAAGCATTCGCAGCATCGACCTGAATCGTGAATTTTATGGTTTATTGGAAGCTAAGTACATGATGGCTTTGTAAATGTGTGGTTCCTTCACTTCCTCGACGTCTGGACCTTTATATGATGCTGGTTTTGTCATTAACTGTGCAGGGGCGCATGGATTTTGAATCCAGACCTAACTCAATTATTTCCCAAGCCTATGAAGTTATGAATTGTCTAAGCACTCTCTGGAGCTAGTAGGGCATGTTGGAGCTGCGTCAGTGTGTGCAACTGCTTTCCTAGTCTTGTTCTTAACGGCTTCAATTTAACAACGCGTATTTCACTGACATACACTTAGAGTTTGCAAATTGACATTGGGCGCAATGAGTGGTAAATGCTGCGACCAAATTTCACTTAACTATGTTTGAATTTTGTCGCTACTTGTGTTGCTTGTACCGGTCCATTAAAGTGGAAGGAACTAGGTCTTAAGTCACCATGGCGTTTTAACGCACTCAAAATAGTGAATAGCGACTCGTCCACCTTTTAGGGCGACATTTTGAGATTGTCCTGCTCTGGTATCATCACTCCTGAAATGTTCCATGAGTAGTTTGGTCATGTGCTGCGTTTCAGATGCGCTCTGCATTATTCACGTGAAGCCTTAAACTAATGCTCTAGTTAGTTATCTGTTGGTCTTCGCCGTATCCGTAATCTTCGGGTCTTTTGGTGCGCTAGCAATGAGTCACCCACCGTGTCGGCGTGGTTCGATCTTTGTTGTCAGTCTTCAGGGCTTCAGGCAAATTTGGAAATTCGTTAACCGTAAAGGATGTTTTGCATTTAATAACACACCCCATTTCGGTCCCTTCAAACTACCTATGGAGAACTTGAATTTGTTCGTTCCTGTTTACGCGATGCTTGTTCCAAGGAACTGGGCACGTGGATTCTATAATGGGGAAATCGAGTGACATTCCTGATGCCTGTTATTAACAAACCGCAAGTTCTAAAGCATCAGGGACCATCAAATTACTGGGACTGGCTGTAATTACTGTAGTTTTTGGAACCTGGGAAGGTTCAGTGTGCTTATCCTCGTAATTCATGCGGACCAAAGGTGTCATTATTTTGGATGGCGGAAGCGGTTTGGCCCTTGAGCTCCTCCACTCGGTGTGGTTGGTATTTTTTATGCGTTAGACTAAAATATCTACCTATTACGTGTAAGTAGAGTGATTCTTACTACTGCACCAAGTGGGGCCGCATGAGTGTAATGATGCGAGTGCCAGAAGTATGGGATCCATAAGTTAGCTTCCCCACCTACGATTGCAGCATTTTCGAATCATATGACTAGTAATTTTAAAACCGTACCATAAGTAAAGTATCTGAGATAAGCGACGGTGATAACGTCCACCTCTACCTACCTGTTCTTTCTCGATCCAAACAGTCAAGGCACTAGTATTGCGTTGGGCATTTTCAGTGTATTGGGATGGTACTCGTACATGTTCCCATCCACTGATGCATTGTTAATGACATTTTAGAGTCTCGAGATCTATGTGAAAATTAAGGAAGGCATAATAATGGATTTGAACATGCACTGTCGAGGGAATGTGGTGTTTGAGGTCACCGTTGTAGCGCAACCGATAAAAGTACAATAATGGGCTTTCATAGCGCTCTCTTTAAACAAATGATGAGTTGGACAAACAGCATATTTCATGGACTCTTTGGTTAAATGCCGTCCACCGGCGTAAGTCCTCGCAACGTAATCATTGGGTAAATCATGCTGGTCGCCGAATTTTTATACATTTGGGAGACAGGAGGAGGAAGGAGGTGAGCTTGCCACCAGCCTTTCCGATCTCTTTTAACAAATCTTTTGGGTCTGGAGCTTTGGGCCTAGGAAATATATGGGAGGAGAGAGTACTGCTGAATGGCACGAGAGGGCACAAATAGGCGTGAGGATATTGGATCCGAAGCAGTCACAACAAAGGATGGGATTTGTCGTAGCGCTGTGGAGATAGGATTTCGCGTCTCTTTGTTTTCACGTCACGACTACCAACCCCGCATTTATAGGCATTTTTTCCCAGATAAAAGAGCATGAATGATAGGATGGCCGTTCATTGACATTTCCATGTGGGTGGGAATTAGCAGCCTCGTAATGAATTTTTCTAGATGGTATACAGTGATCATCGCTAGCTGCAATTGTTACTCTTTTTTTTTTCGTAAATTATGAGACTGACTTAGTTATGGAAGACGAAACACAATGGCAAGACTGCTGCTGTGGATTGTCAACGATTCCCCTTTCCACTCCGCTAATGTGTAGTCCTCAGCAGTAGGAGCCAGATTAGTTGGCCTCAGAGACGTGACTCGATTTCCACTACCACAATGCCTGCAAACGCAAGGTGCAACGCTCAAACTGAGTATACGCATTTGATGCACGAAAATGATCGCTATTACTGGTGTGACCAGAAGAGTGGGTGAGGTTAAATACCAAGATCGAGCGTTAGGCAACCAACGCACTACAAATGTTATTGCTTGTTCGCCAAAGGTCTACTGTTATGCTTAATTTTGAAAAATATGCAAATGCGCGTAGAATTTGAGCCTTTCTTGTTCGATAAAATAAAGTACACCTCTCCGCTTTTCCTAATAGGATCGAAAGGTCAAAAGGGCTCAGAGTACCACTATTAGTGACCATTGCTGGATCTAAGTCGGCTTTGTGCCTGGCATTAAATGCCCAAAATCGGTCTTGAAGCTGGATGTCGACTTTGTGGACACGGCCGACGGAACGCCGCTCGAGTATGCTTCCAAATGTGGTTGATGGCTGTGTGAGCAGGGGTAGGTGAAGGCAGGGCATAATTGCATCGAAGACGACAAGTTCTTCAGCTTCAAGTCTATCAAGCTGAGGATGGACAAGTAGATACTGTATATATGAAACAAAAAAGAAGATTCACCATCCTTAACGAAAAGTCGTTTAGTTAATCTAAGGTCATCTCTCAGTGTGAGGCCCAGTCCCATAGGATTTTATGCTCACCATACTTGTTTGAATTGATTGGCTAGGCTAGGCCAACTAAATGCTCTTGTAGCTTAAGCAAATGAAAATGAAACACTGAAACTTGTATTGGGTTGATTCGATCAAGAAGCATTTGGCAGTTTACAGAGCTGAAATGGGGTTGTGATTGGAGAATTATCGTCGACAATGTCCTTTTACAAAGTTTACACAAATTGTTAGTTAAAAGGCTGCAACCTAAGTTCCATTCCACCTACGTAATTAAGCCGCAAAGTTCATGTGTTGAGTACTTGCACCTCTGACAATCACATGGCTGCGAGGCCAACTCCACCTCTGTATATAAGCTCATTTCAGTCAACTCAACCAAAACTGTTTGAATTGCAAGGTAAATAAGAAGTATCTCCACTCTACTAATTGGCACTTCTAGTTTTAAAAACACAATTTGCTTTTGTTGAGTTCCTGTGTTCGGAATCCATATTAGGAATGGCACTTTGATAGCTTAAGATGCTTTTTGTTCTTCTTCTCCCAAACCTCTGCATCACACTTTGCTCTATACCACCAAGTGTGTCTCATTGTTTTACCGCCGTTTTGAGTGAAGTGACAATGAACACCGTTTCTTGCATTCTGCAGATTTCCAAATGTCGTCTGATGCTAAGAAGGATGAGGTGAGTCCATGTTCGCATTTATCCCATTTGAATTTTACTTTCAGACTCAAATGTCTTATCCATGCTTGGAATTGTGTAGTTTGATAATTTTACCTCATTAGCATGAAAACAGCAAAGAATCCTTTAGAATACGATTTACGGCAAATGAAGTAAAATATTCAAAAAATCGACGCCTGGATGTTTTGCACCATTCTCCCTTTAAAATTATAAAGCGTTGCAACTTGCTATGCAGCTTAGAGTTCATGCTGTTGCCTTTGACTAGGACACGAAGAAAGAAGGCTTCTTCAAGAAAATGTTTAGTGCACCAGGAAAAGGTTCTTCCACGGACAAACCAAAAAAGCACACCAGTAAGTCGATCTTTCATAAATGACGGCCACCTCCATTTGTTAAAAAATTATGCCACACCGAGCTAGTAATTTGATACCTTATGGGAAATTAGCAATAAGTCGCTAAAAGTACGGCAACAAGTGAAGCAGGAGATGGAGTTGGTGAATTAGAGTGGGACAAGTACTGAACCAGGTCAAGCATTGCCTTTCCGATTCACAATTTCTAACATGGTAGTAGATTTAATACTACTATAGTTTTGTTGAATCAAAAATGCTGGGAACAATAATTGATCCAACATTTGACGTGGTAGCATGCATTTTGAGACCCTAAAATTCACTCATCATCGTGTAATGGCCTCAAGAAGCGCTCACGGCTAATGTGATGGGTTTCGCTTAATTTCTTTTTTATTGGCAGATAAAATTGGAGGTCTTGGTAAAACCTCCAAACACTCTGGAGGTAATGCCGACCAAAAGAACACACATGATGAGAGCCCGGATGCAGGACACGGAGAAAAGGATCCCAACCCAGACCAAGTTCTTCGTGACAGCACCGACGCTTGCAAATGAGGGTAGAATTCATCACACGTCCTAACGAACTCTTTTGACTGAATTGCATTACTGTTTCTTCGTAAAATATGCCACTCCCTCCATGTTCGCAACTCTGCTTCAAGCTCGAGTGGGAATCCTTCAGCGCATCAATTATTGGGTACCCTTGGATCGGTGCAACCCTGTAGTCGGTTACGTAAACGAAAGGGAAACAGAGAAGGAAATAGTAAAGGGTTGTGGCCGTTTATCAAATTATTGCTTTGCTTGCTTGATTACCAGTACTGGTGGTGAATACTTCACAGGCCATATTATTTTCTAGGGTGGGTAGAATTTCGAGCCATGCCAAAGATCCCACTTTTTCTGTAGTACTTTATTTATGTGGTCACCTGATGTCCAACGATTACTTTAGTACATGTCTTGCCTTAGGGCCAAGTCAAGACTCAGTCCCTTCTTACGCTTCTAGAATACATGCATTCCGACAAACTTAATACCTTCTTCTGCCACACTTTCCTTCCTGTACGATTGCATTGTCTTCGAATACCTAACATGTAGATTCAGGACGCTACGAACAAAGCTTTAAAAGTTGATGACGACTCAAACCAGGAATTCATATGTACTGACGTTGCAAACAATACTTATAGTACAAATTTGGGAGTGTAATGTCCCCAAATTTACTATTCAATAGCAGAAGCTATTGGGGATGGCCAAGTATTCGTATTCAAGCAGAAAGGGTGAAATCAAGTACAGAGACCTGGGATTTCCCTCCAGGTTGAAGAAAACATCATGCTAGATTGAACACTAATTTTGTACGGAGAGGAAAGAACAGGGCCTCAGCTTGGACTAGAAGCAAGGTAAAGCGAACAAATACCAGACGAACGCCAAAGTAACCGCCAGATATCAGGTGGTGAAATAAACAAAGCATTACAGTGAAGAACTGGCCTAGTTCGAAGGCCGACATATGCAGTCTGGGGCAATAAGGCCACAAAAGTCCGCCATTCTATACTGGAAGTCACACGAAGAATGATTTACGAAAACGATTAAAATTGGTTACAGCTGATAAGTTGAGATCTCATGACAAAGGGAAGTTAATATCCGCTTCCGATGCGAGAACATTACAATTGCAAGATATGCAGTATGCTAAAGGGAGTACAGACACCTCACATAAGTATTTGGCTTTTTTAACAAGATTTAAAAGTTACTATCATGCATTTGCATCGGATCACAAACGATGTTTTGGTTTTATACTTTCGCATCAAAAATATGGTACGCAATTTCAACTTTTTGCTAAACTGGTAAGATAATAAGCAAATCTGAGTCAAATCGGGAATTGTTTTGATGCGCCAATCGCGCACTTAATAGATGATGTCCCATTTCCCGTTCTTATGAATTTTCTCGAGTTAATTTCTTTACCTTTTTATGTCAATGCTTCGTTGTTAAACATGGCGATGTCTGCCTTACTTATGGATAATTTGAAAAGTGATTGCAACCTCTGATTGTTCGAAAGTATAGTACCATTCACTTACGGGTCTTCTTGTAAATACTATCGTCTACCAAATTATCTCGCTCTGCATATTGGAAATTCGTAAACAACTTCCACCATGTGTGATATAATGCCAACAATCGCTGAAGATGGGAATTCAAGCCAGGGTGATCGGGACTCACAAGTCAGCGCTGAGGGGAATACTGTTGAAGATATGCTGCTAAGCATTTTGGACGAACGCGATCGGTTGATGGAGAATTTCCAAGAGGCGCAGGAGCAATTAAGTTATTCACAGAATCGGCTAAGCGAACTTGAACGGGAAAAGGATTGCCTATCGCGCCAACTCCGTGAGAAGGTTCCTGAGGTCTGTGGCTTTCTAAATCCTATAGTTGGGTATTTATTTGCTTTATGTTGTATTCGATAGTCTTATTTTATATGTGAATATATCTCTAAAGTATGTTGCGATTTTATTGTGATTGTTGCATCTGGTTGCAATTTTTAGCCTTCTTAAGATGCAAGCCTGATACTACTACTTTTTTCCACTTTCGTTTTCTACGTGTTGATCATTCGGAATAAGTTGCACATTATTTGAACTAGTAGAATTTACAGGTGTTTTGTTTTCTTGAAGAGTACTTTGAATGCTTTGTCTTGGTAAATTTATGAAGACTAAATTCTTTTTTGCCATTGATTCTCATCAAGGACATTGCGGTACTAGCCAAAGACGTTCAATTTTACCGAGATCAGTTATTGGAGCGTGAGGATGAGATTCAGGAATTAAAGGCTGAAAGGAGCAACACCCGAGTAAGACAGGCCTTGTTTGCATTTAACTGTTATACGTAAAGGAAATGTTTCCTTATTATTGTTATTATTGTTCAATCAATCTAAGAAATAGAAGTGATGGTAAAGTAAACTTTGCTAGCGTTCCGCAAAGTAATTGCCCTTTAACTCACCGCTGTTATTATAATAAAAGTGATAAAATAATACTCCGATTTACCTTGTTCTGGGAAATATATGTCAGTAAAGTTAGTCGAAGGGTAATGTTAGTAAAGATTGTGAGTCCCAGCGACAAATCTAAGTGGTAACCAATTCATTCGTAATAGGCAAGTTCATTTTCTTCTTGCGTTTTGTTTTCCAGTTGTTGCTGGAGCATTTGGAGTGCCTGGTGGCGCGACACGAACGTTCACTGCGGATGACAGTAGTAAAGCGGCAGATGTCGAGTCCAGGTGGAGTGAGTTCCGAGGTGGAGGTTTTGAAGGCACTGAAGTCACTGTTCGAACACCACAAGGCCATGGATACGCGTTTGCGTGAGCGCCTTCGCGCTGCCCTAGAGCGTGCTGCTCAGTTAGAAGAGGATGTTCGTGCTTCTGCCTCAGATCGAGCCTCACTCCGCGAACAACTGGCCGCCGCCCTCGCCAATATCGCAGCTAGTACAGGTGTGATCCTTTCAGCTTTTCTCTGGCAGCCAATCGAGTCTTATACCTAAATAGTTCAAAGAATGATGCTCTTGTGTTTTTTAACACAATGCGATCTCTTTACCATTAGTTACCTCTTTCAACAAGCATTTCTTTAAATACAAACTAATCTATACAGAAAATTTAATTTGCCTTTTTGTTACTCGCCACCAGCACACTCGACCTGGCACCTTACTGCGTCAGTAGCCATGCATCTGTCGATGTAGTTAATGCCATATCCTTCTTTTTTTTAATTTACAGAACGTCATCCTGAATTCTCCTTACTATGTTTCCGACTCTTAAGGTTACTGAAATTCCTGAATTTGGCGTGTTAACCACTCCCTCTTCTTTGCTTGCAGCAGATCTCGAATGTTATTTTTATCCTGACAATGATACCACTCGACGGCACCAGCAGATAGATGCTGTGCATGGCTTTCTCCACCTCTGATTTCGCTGTTTGCAGTAGATCGAACTTCGTTCACCGTTTATTCGAACTAATTGTCATTTAGGTTAACCAAAATAAGAAAGTTAGTCCACGCTGTTGTGCACTATACTATGATACTTAATAAGTGGATGCAGTTCTTTCTTATAAGGGCCTCTTTTTGCAGCCGTGTCAAAATTGCCTTCGGACATCTTTTGTCTAATTTAACCTTACGTAGCATCTGCACTTCGAATGCTGCAATGCATTTTAGATGCTCTACTTTGGAATTGGGAGCGTACATTAGTTACGGTGTATGTTCTGGAGGCTTCGATTTTACTGTGCCCCTGAGGGGATCCTAAGGGATATCACTGCTGCCAAATGTCTACATTTGAACTTTCCGTAGCTCTTGGAAGATCTAATGGTCGCTGGTGAAATTAATATGGTTCACTTTCAGTGCATTATTCCTGGTCACCTTTTGCATACTTGCCCAATTATTACTCCAACTTTGGATATTTGGTAATCGAATGAACTTAACTATTTTGTCTATATGAAGAATCTCCTGTCATACAGTCTACATTTACTATTCATTACTGATGAAGACGATGTGATTGGTCTGCTCTAGCCTCGTTTCATTGTTTCTTTAATACATATGCATATTGCATCTGTATTACTCGTACTCTTTAAAGGGAAGGCTATAATTTACGTAAATTCTTCCTTTGCCAAAACAGCCATTCTTGCGCGGAGAGTTTTTCGACAAGAGGCTTGGTCGCGACATGTGGAATAACAACATTACGTACGCAGAAAGAGCGGCAATTTATGTTGCGGATAAAAGACAACTGCCTGCTATCCCTGAATGCTAATGTTGTGTATGTGAGTCTTAGCACGTGTGTTAACATCCCCAATGGATAGGTTCATACACACACACACACAGGAGAGTAAATGAAAACGAGGGAGATCCTGTTTCTTCCTCGTCCCTCCTGCCCGTTTTCCATACTTTTTTTCCAAGGTTTCATACGCTCTGCATGAACTGCTGGTGAAATGATATAATGTAAATGGATTGGCTTGATAGACCACCTGAATGTCCGAGAGTAATATCCGATTTTATTACTTTCTTTTACCCTCGCAGACGTCCTCATGATGCCTCTGCTTCTCATCTTATGAGTGCATTGATGAGAAACCTTTAGCTGGTTTCCCAACTGCAATGAGTCGATTGTTAGCAAAGTATTAGGTCAATAATTATGATTTCTTCAAACATCCCGACATTACTGTCCAAGCGGCGGATTCAATGGCGTCAAATGGTCGATAACGTCTTTTAAGTCTTATTGTTAAAAAGTGCTTGCGCTTCTGTGTCTAACATCTATTGGGCTTTTAGCTTTGAGCGTAAAGTTTCCGCATTTTCGTTGCAACGTTCGTGGGCTATGCTTGTAGTTCTTTTGGAGTAGCAATAACCACACAACTCCAATCAATCTTCCTCATGAACAAGTCGGCTGCTGCTCTTGCATTCAAATTAGTCGCACTAAAAGTGAAGTTCTGAGCTGGTTCGCGTATCAATCGCTGGTCCTTATTGGGAAAACGCGATGGATACGCCATCCTGTAATTGAGGGCATTTGCGAATAGGCAGGCACTTAACCCGAGGCCTGGCTACGGACGGGAAAATGCTTTGCCAGCTGGCCTGGTCGTTACAGCGCGTACTTTCCTCATCGATAGGGTGTTGCTAATCCTTTTGTCGCCTTGATGGCATGAGATTGAGAGTCAACTAAGGCACTAGCAATCAAAATATCAGTTAATAGGTTGAACTTTGGATGAAATTCCATAGCTTCTGGCACAGGATCATGAGACACCTTCTGCTCGCTGGTGCGCTTTACTTAACTAATAGAAATAAGGGAGGTGTGATAGCTTATTATGATTGTTTGTTTATGCTTTTCTTTCGTCTGCTCCCAACAATGGTAAATGGGAGGGAAACATTTGGTTCATTCAAGATAGCTATGCAACGGACTTGACCAGGCTCCGATTTATGGTGCATACTTTTGAAAACGTAGTCAAAACTTTTTTCTTGAGATTTTACCTTAATGGTTTAGTGAGGTTTATGCTCTCTTCCTTTGATGTCCGTTGAAGAACTTTATGCACATAATCAATTCTGGCATATTCAACAGGACTTTTGGCATTGGGAGTAGTTATGGGCAGTACCAAATCATTTGACGTTTTGCACCTGATTGGTGCAATTTGCTCGATTCTTCCCGTTGCAGAACCCAAAATCTCGGTTGCAGCATAGATGCCATCGTAATTATGTGCGGTACGTTCGTGAACCGCAAGAGAGCCACAAGTCAGCTAGAATATATTTCTTACGATTTCACCCACTTGTTACAATCAATTTAATTCAACTTAGACGCGTTGTCAAAGCACAAGTCACGCGATGCTCCTCACTGCCATTTTTCCCTCCATTCCATCATAGGAAGTGACCTGAATTCTCCGTTTTCTTCGTATTCAGACGCCTTATCTCTAACGTTTGTGGCGCTTCAAATACTCTGAAGTGCGCAAGCCATCGAAAGAAACTACTGCATGCGATGACAAGCTTCTCCTAGATCCGCATACAGAAGACCCAAATTAGAACGATGCCTTTGACGATTAAACGCACAGACTTCGATAAACATTCTAGGCTTTGTTAACTGCACTATTCTACGCCGAAAATTTTCGTCAAATTGGCTAACTTATTTACAAAAGGAATATAAAATAGTTAAAAACTTCTTCGAAATCACACGTAGATCACATCGCACGACTTCCATGTTACAGATTTGGCGAAAATAGTTAAACACTATCACCAAATGAAGGGAAGAGAATAGTTGCTTCCTTCCGGATGTAAGTTATTTGAGTAAATTTCATCCAATAATTTCTAAGCTGTTCTTTCAGATAGTGCTTTTGAGGTCCCAATGTACCACCTCCACCATTTTAAAGAACACAATAACCTTGGTTTAAGGTTAAATGATGTTGACTGCCATATGTAGCCGGCTTTCTTAAATTACATCGCAGATCTAATCACTTTCAATACGGTAGCTTGGTGTTATGATAGTGCGCATTCGTTGTCTTCACTGCAGGAAACGGTCTGTCAGTCGACCCTGAGGGCAAGAAGGAGACCGTTGACTCAGTGGAGTCACAACCTCCCGGAGGTCCGCCAGTAAATGGCACAGAAGTTGGAGGCAGCGATAAGGAGGGAAGAAATGGTGAAGGCACTAACTACGCTGCCGTTGCCGCCGCAGCTGCCGCCAGCGCTGCTGCAACAGAGCGCAAACTTGTCGAAGTGGCAGGTCGAGCCCGTGACCTGGAATCCACCATCACAACACTTCAGAAGGAGCTTGGACGTGCACAGGACCAAGTGTGTCTCTAAGTTGTTTATTACTCCTATTCACATTGCCCTCCAATTAGGTGTGCATTAGAAATTATTAACAGCATTATCAATACTGTTTTTGATAGTTTTTTGGGGAGCCTCATTCGATTTTTCTTTGAGAGGAACGTCGATTAATAATAAAGTACTTTCACCTACCCGATTTGTGCATAACAGACATTGTTGCAAAGTCGTACCCTAGGTTTCAAAATCACCGAACACCTGACTTTCTTTGGCGTCTCTACATTTTTGACCTGTACTGAGACTATCAAGCATATTTTAATTTCAAAAATGCTACAAAATTACTTCCGTTGTTGGTGTTACTTGCGTCTACATTGGGATGAATGCTGGCGATCCACTAGAGACTGTGTGCGAGAGACAGCAGCGTCGACACTTAGCATTGCATTTTGTCTTTCCTTTCCCCATACGAAGGTGACACGACTACAGCGGGACTTGCGCGAGTCAGAGGCGCAACGGGAAGATCAGGAGTCTCGCATCTCAACATTGGAGCAGCGCTATCTCGCCGCTCAGCACGACGCCACTGCAGCTCACGAGAAAGCCAATCGCATAGGCGCCGATCTCATCAGTCGCGACTCTGAACTCAAACAGGTAACGCCCTTTGTCAAAGCCTCTTCACTATTCAAAACTATGATCATTTTGATTTGAAAAGTATAGTTAAATCGCTACAACAAACTGTTTCATTGGAGTTCTTTTGACCTAATTAGTATTCATTTTTGTCACTTTGTGAATCGATTGAGAGTATGCACAAGTCGTAAAGATTTATCATAAAGTTGTTGCTTTTATTTGCGTTCTTATTTATCAAAAACAAAACTTCCCATGTTTTATACTCACTCGGGGATAACTAACCAAGGCTTAGGTTTCTCGGTCATTTTCTATATCTATTGCATCTTACTAGTTCAGTAGTCTTGGTAAGCAATTTGGTTACCTTGTAACCATCACTCATTAGGCCTTCACTGCACGAGTTTTCCCTATTAAACGGTCATTCCTGTGGCGTAAAACTTGTGCTGCCAAGATTTAAGGATTTTTTCCCTAACCATAAATGTGTAGTAGGGGTTCAAAACCTGTTTGAAGTGATGTGATTTCATGATGAATGGGATTGGTTTACGATCATTATAAGAATAAAATGAACGCCTACAAACGTTTCTCACTACGCTTTTGTGCGGAAGTCCCTTTGTAAAAATGTGCTAACAAAACGTACGGCTGAAATACCGCCTGGGGGTCGTGAACTTTTGTTTTACCACTGAGGCTTGGTGATCGGAGCGCATTCAACTTCTCAGACCCTGCCGTGTAGACACTGCTACTCAATGTGGAGGCAATGGGGAGCACAAAAGACATTGAAGCTTTGAAAACTTTAATCAAAGCCCTGAAGGTCTTTAAAAATGGTTTGTTATCATCGGTAGTGACTGCTTTTTTATCATGACGTCCAAGTCCTCCATGTGAGGTATGTCATGCTAGATTCGACGGCGAATCCAAAGACGGGTGATTTTCGAAACATTCATCTTAACCGTCTCTACATAGACGACTTTAATGCAAATGCTTCAGTGCATTTCAACAAAGTCGCTTGGTTCAACAGTGCTTTGTTAATGATATTCATTGTTGATTCAAACGTTGCAAAGGGAGTTTTCATTTCTCATCGTTGGCGTCCTCTTTGATGGGTCACCGCTTGCAACCACCATAGAATAAGAAGCCTTTAATGTTCATGAATCATTGGCCTTGCGAAGCTACACTGTATACTGACAAACTAAGCTCATCCCAATACTCGCATGCAGGATCGTAAAAATAGTTACCAATGCGTTTTAATAAATGAGGAGGGCCTGAAAGGTCAGCTCAGCAAAATGTATTGCTCATATTTTCACGTAGACTGAGAAGTAACCAGGTAAAGTATGTATGGTAAAAACAACAATAACTAATTCATCTCTTTCCTAGTCAGAGGAACGGGTGAATCACCTCAAAGTAGAAGTGGATATGCTTCGAAACAAAAACGAGGACTTGCAGGTTATGCTGGAGAAGTACCAAAGTCAAGAGGGTGACCAACCAGCACCAGTGGCTTCAGGCAGCGCTGCGTCTCCAGCAGACCCGTCTGCTGCCGTATCTGTTCCTTCCACTATAGAGATCAGTGAGCTGCAGGAATCGAACATTCGCGCTATGCGCGCCGAGCTAACTCAGGCCGACGATCGGCTGCGCGAGGTGCAGGCTGCTATGGCTGAAACACAAGCCGAGCTTCAACGCGCCAGACAGAGGGAGAGGCTCAATGAGGATCATAGTGCTCGTCTTACTGCCACTGTGAGTTTCTTTTTCGCTTACTCTCTCTTCTCCTCCGCCCTCTTCCTTTGTTTTAACGTAGCAATTTCGGCACTTGGAAATGAAATGAAAATAATGCGCTCCTATTTGTTTGTTTCTATGTCGAATAAACCAAGCAGTTAGAAAGTGTAGCTTGGATCATGCGTGTCAAAGCCTTTTGGTTCCTCAGATATCGTCTGTTTTTACCTCCATCCGTTTACTCAAAAGTGCAGCAATGGAGATTCTCAAACATTTGTTCGATCTGCTCGACAGCCGGCTAGATGATTCTACCAATTGGTGGCGTAGCTTCCTGCGTAAAATTGTTTACAATGGAATAATTAATCTGCATTCCCTTGCTCTATGTTGCCTTTGACTAATCACTGCGTGGCTGTTTCGGTGTCAGATAAAATCCATTCTTCCATCTGACCAACTGTGAGAGGGCATTGTACGCTGCTCTTCGGAACGGACAGCCAGCATTAGGTGCATCTTCCTCCTCCTCCTCCTCCTGAAAAATCAGGTGCCTGAGTCAAATATGCACCCGGCAGTGTACGCACTATGCACACATTCACAAGCTGTTACCCAGGCTTTGTAGAAGTGCCTATCAAGTTAGCATCTGCACTATTGAAAGTTAAGCAAACAAATATTTCTCGCCATTCACCTTCCATTCCTTTGCTTTAGCTCCTCGAGCTTGGGTCTTTTGCGCATTAATTGCACTTTTATTTATTCCTACTTGATTTTAACTTGCGACAATGTAACAACACTGAAACCGGGTACATTGTGCATGTGAAAGCACCCAATCCCACTGATACTTGGCGTATTTGCCTGACAAGTTGGCAGAGGCACTTTAGGCTAGAGTGAGGGCTTAATTTGCACAGGCGGTGCGCTTTCTTTTACAGTAAAATGCGGGCTAAGATGCCGTAGATTCACAGTGTTATCCATAATCCTCAACTTTAATTTCACCATCATTTTGTTAATCTCCTCCTCCCTTTCTGTCTTTGCCCTTCTACCCGCTTACCACTTCTTAGCTTCCCATTACGGAAAGGAGGCAATAAATTGAGATTGATTGAGATTTCAGTTATTAACACCTGAACTTTTCACCTCCCAACAATGTGAAGGACAGTGCCTCAAATGTCACGCATGTCATGAATGTATTAATCGAACCCACAACAATGTCTTCACTGAAATTTTGCTATAATACCAAGTAGAAATGCTCGCACATATCTGTGACTGACAGTTTTCTCTCCTGCGTCACATCCTTTCTACTCATTTCCAAGGTATGAGCCATTTGAAATCTCTCTGTCTTCCATGGCGTAACTGTGTAATTAAAAAATGCGGTCCAGGGGCACGGATTGTGATTTTAGTATTGGGACCCGTGATCACTAGTTGACACACCGCGACACAGCGTGCAACCGTCTCCTCTGCCTGAATGTCAACACACTTTGCTAGCACACGTGGACGTCGACTCGTTTGCATAAGGACAACGCAGCTTGTTGTAGGCAGCAAGCGTCACTAGGCTTAGGTAAATGCAGGGATGAATTTGCCTTTCAAATGGGATCAATTTAAATCCTGACATTAAATCATGTTAGAGCGGAAGTAGTGCGGACTCTTTGTCGTTACACTTAGTTGATGTGTCTTAAAGTTTGGAAATTTTACTCCTCTTTACATACAGCCTTCGGCTTCAACATTGCGTCTTCAAGAAAAAAGGGTGTTTAGACATGCCATTATCTTGTATTAAGTGAAAAATCGTACACTTAACCCAAAAACATTGGTAAAATTGCCTTCAATACCCGATTTGTATTTATTAACTCTTTGACAAGACCGTTGCGAGGTAAACAAATGCTGCATTCAATTAATTGTGAAAGTTCTGACGGCAAATGTCCAAATTTGTTACATCCAGACCTTAAAATTTTCATTTTTTTATTCAAAAATGAACAGTTGTCGATTATGTCGGTGCCAAGCGCTCCAACTTCCCGTTTGCCAGATGGAACCTGTTGACTGCCCAAATCTAGACCGTTTCGTTATTTACTGATTTTTCCATGCATTGTTGTAAATGTCGAGTTAAATTGGAGCGGTGACGAAAGAGCATTGTAATTTTTAAGAGTGGAATCCACAATTAGTATCTTGCTAACCCACCACTACTGCTATTCAAGCCTCATTTTCTTCGCCATTCAGTCATTGATGTATGTGTAGCCGCTATGCACCGCTCCTTGTGTTCAGGTCGACAAACTTTTGCTGGAGTCGAACGAACGATTGCAGACACATCTAAGGGAGAAGATGGCTGTAATGGAGGAGAAGAATCAGTTGACTGCGGAGTTGGATCGTGTTCGTCGTCAAATGGAGTCTATTCAGTCGGAGCGTGATCGGCTTGTAAATGAGTTGGACAGGCTTCGGAGACAGGCCTCCCTAGCGGAATCGCTTGACCTGCCAAATCTCAACAGTGAGTGAATTCATTTTCACTGGTCATTCATGAAAACTTAACCTCTTCGTCAGAACGCATTTCTATTCAAGTAGAATATTTTTACAATTCTGGGAACCACTAAACTAGACACATCACACCCACAACCTTTCCTTTTTACAACACATAGGGCAGAAGTAATCTACGTACACTTCACCTTTTCTGGCAAAATTATTCAAGTGGTTCTCATTTTTTTTTGGTTTTGTTCTCGATGGGTCCTATGCCTTAAAGCTTACACATAAGAAATGGAATGGGGAAGAGCATTGGTAGGGAACGGTGTATTGCACGAAGAGATGGTGAAAAATAAATCACAAGGGAGGATGGCAAGGTGGGTTTATACTCCTCATGACAGTTGCCGAATCGCAGCCTTACAGCTACCCATTTCACCAACATGGAGGCATCTCTTGCCACACAGTGGGTTTTGCACCTTGAATTCATCACGACGGCTTCCTAAGCCTACGACATGCAAAGCAAGCCAGTATGTCTTCCGGCACCTATACGTGGTTCCAGAACTGGCGTAACAAATAGCCGTGTCCTTGCATTACCAATGTATTCGAAGTAGCCAGTCACCATTGAACCAATCCATACATCATTAGGATATAAAACGTATGTGTGTGTAACTTGTGAGAGATCGTCAAGCGTATGAAAATCTTATCACTTGTGTTATTTTAATAAATCTCTTCCAGTATGGCAAAAGGTAGTCACATTAAGCTTCATTTCGCACATTTTCAGACACAAACTAGTTTCAGTGAGAGAAATATGATAGTGATTGCCTTTTTTCAGACTAATCACCTTTAAATTGCTGTGTCAAAGTCCACGAGGTGAGACTTTGACTAATAATAATAGCTCTGCCTCACGAGACTGCCATAATCGGAGTGTTCGCTGTCTTGTAGCAGTTTGGCGTACGCCGGGCACCGTGCGGTCACAGTGCGCGTCCCTGTTGCGCCGGCCTGCGAGCCTCTATCTTTCAGCCCACGAAAAAGCTGAGCTACTAAATTGGCGCCAAAAGAACCGTTTCGGGGGCTCCGCGATCATATCCTCGAAGTGTTCGTATTAGTCATCTTTGTGCACCGCTTCCTCCTAATTTTTCGTGCGCCCTCCTTCCTAATTCATAATTGCACTAACGCACCCTGCTTGCCCTCTTCCACTTTTACCTCAAAAGCAAAGAGAATCTTTGAATTCTTAATGAGCTCACAAAATTCCCATAGGAGGCAAGCCAATTAAAAGTGGTAATTGAAAGAAAATCTGAAATGTAAATGGGCACAGCCTCTTCCTAGTCCTGACTGGAAGTGGATGTCGGTGCTACACGGTCTTGCCCCATTCATTCCGAACGTTGTCATGAGGGATTCTTAAAACTCGATTTTGTATGATGGGTTTACTTAATCCCTTCTTAATGTAATCTTCGATGGAGCACTTGATTTTGTTTCACACATTAATGGTTCATTGAGGATTAGCCTTTTTTATAAAATTGGTCGAGTGCATTTATTTTTTGGCTGTTGAATGGTCGGTTACTTGACGATAAAATCTCACTTACGTGTGAGCATGTGTTCGAGTTACCCTGTGAAAGGCTTTGAGTTTTGTGGGTTTGGTTGGTTTAGTCTCTTATCTAAAAATAACAAGTGTCATTTTGCTGGATCAGGCGAACTATGGTTTTTGTAGTAATCACCGCATAGCCAATTGTGTGACAACGCTCCCAAATTGAGTTGAGACGTCACTTCACCCCTGCCACTTGAGGAAAATACTTGACACTTCCCTTCAAGTCTTTGATTGCACGCTTTGTGGAAGTGACCTCTGCGCTGATTTTCTTTTTATCCAATGTGTTTGTCGGCTCGTTAAACAAACTGAATCACATCCTTTTAAAGTATCACTAAGTCAGCTATTTTTTTACTTCAAACGACATCCAATTGCAGAAAATCACCCTTCTTGCATACTTTATGCACAAATTCGTTTTTGTTATCAGGCTACTTCGTTGGAGCGTATTTTTCGTCCCCCATTCAACCGTATCAAATGTCTTGTCACCTAAGAACTTGGTATCGACACTCGAGTAAAAATAACACATGTGTGCCTTTCATTCGAAGTTATTGAAGCTCAACGTGTAAAATTACAGCAAACAGGATTCAACGAATGCTACTAACAGAGTCTATTTGTGTTTGCTAGCCTTCATATGTTCAAGACTCATCCACCCCTTACAGAATGGTACGGACTGACCCAGCATCGTCTTTTACCCCAAATGAAGAGTTGGAGATTTTCCGTCAATGCCCTCTGAAATGCGCAAATTTAGGTCTCTTTGATTGGCTTCCTGGTTTGCGCTTGAATTCCAATCAAATGGCGAATAGGGAAGGCTAGGCGGTTGCAAAAAGTCACGGGTACGTTGTCAAGTCACTTTGGATCCATTGATAGGCTCATTTTTCACTGACTAGGATCTTAACTTTGGTTAGAAAATTGCCTCAAGCGTGATGTACTAAAAGTACCTATAAGGGGTTCATTCCATGCTTCTAGTCGTATAGGGAAAACAAATTCGGAACGCATAAGTGTTTTCGCGACACCAAGCATTATTGCATTTACCTGGGCTGCAGGAAGAAGAAGAAGAATAAGAAGAATTGATATTTTTTCGTACCCTGCAAGTGATGCCATCTACATGAAAGCTGAAATTACTTGGGTTTAAATGTGAGAGGGGAAATAATTTTGTTGTATATAACAAAAGATGGTTCGTGGGATTAATTTTGCCCTCATAACTTGCTGTTCGGCTTGGCAGTTAAATAGGCAAAAGTCGTGTAAATGTTATCTTTCACAAGCATTCCACTAGTTTGCCACTACGTCACGGGTCATGCGAACAGACTGTTTCAGATAAGGGCAGTTGGTTATGTGACCTCAAAGGGGGAAATGGCTATGCCATTTTTGCACTGTGGGGTCATCTTTGCGTTTCCAGATTAGTGAAACTGACTACCCATCTCCTTCTTTCAATTAATAGGAGGAATTTCAAAAGTTTGAGCTGCTTGAGTGCTTGCTCGGATATCTCCAGTCTTTCCTCATCAGCCGCTTGCATTTGTCCCCTCCAAAAGGCTATCGAGACGTGAATAGCATTTGTATTCTACTTCGCATCATCAAGTCGAGGTGATCGTAAAGTTGCCATAAAGTGATACTAAGGATTTTAATTGCTAGTTCAGTCCGTCAAATAACAAGCAAAACGACAGAGAGCCACGGTCAATACCGGTCTTTTCCGATCGCTATCATCCCGACTCTACATATTACCTCTTTTTCAGGGTTGTACTGGTGCATTCCGTAAAGTTTTCAATACACTTCGGCGTGTCGTGTTTCGCTTTCTTTGGACTCATCACACGCAAATGTGTTACTGCTGCTTGTTTTGAATGACAAGGCACAGCTTCATTACTAGTTGGTGGCATTTTACCACATGGGGAGGGACCTCATGCTCTTGGTAATCGCGTCGTGTACGAATACAGCTGTGGCCGATGCATCAATGAGGCCTAGGTATTCCGCTTATCCAAGCAACTAGGCGCCAGGTTTGTGTGCCGCCGACCCTCGATTTCTCACACTGCATCAGCAGGCGGCCACGTGCGTATGTTTCTGAGCGCGCAATGGCACACACGATGCATTTGTGTGCGCACGTGTCTATCCGCGTCGACCTCTCACATGCACACGCACACACTGTCTGATGTGCATGTGTGCGTCCATCAATCGATTGGCCGCTTACACATTCGCTGCATCCTCGAGTGTGTGTGGGTGTGTACGTACATTTGGGTGACGGGGTACGCGGTGTTTATTAACTGCTGACGCATCTTGATGATGCCCGCTCGCGTAGGGTTGGCTTTAGTCACAGCTTGGCACGGCTGACCCCTGCTTCCAACATGCTGATTCACCAGC